TTAAGGACAGAAAGGGAAACATGCGAGAAATGTTATGAAACCCAAATCAACAGGACTTGGTAACAGGGCATAAAGGAGAGTGGAGAGTATTCCAGGTAAAGGAAACTAGTGGTTGCAGGCAAGACTGAAGATGGAACGTTCATTAACATCACCTAACTCTTGTGTGAGACCAGTGGTCATTGTAGTTAAAAATTAAAACCCTAAGCTTAACTAACCTTAATTTGCTTACTTTCCCTGTAGCCTTCTGAAACTACATATAGATATATATTGCATATACACTTTAATCTATCTCGTCGTTGTGAGTCCATCTTCCAATGGTGCATATGGCAATTTATTCATGCCTTCTCCCCCTGGGTGACTGTTGCCCACATCTACTTTCTCTGGGAAGCTTCCTCTTAGTCCCTTGATGCTGTATGGAGCATGCAGGCCACATATTGGCAGTCCCTCATTCTCACTATGTGACCAGCTCACCTCCATTTCTGTAATGTAGTTCTCTGATCTATAACACTACTTCCATTCCAACTCAAAAGGCACCCAGGAACACTTGAACTGGGAGGAGAACGCTTGTACTTGTTTCCAGGTAGGGAGCAAGGCTTTCCATTGTTCAAGCATGGAAATGGGTTTAGCAAACATTCATGTGTCATCCCTTAACCCCCCAGGCCTGGGTATTCCCTGTTCCAATAAATTCACATATATGTACTCCTTTACTAATGCATTGTGTACATGAAAAGACATGCACAAAAATAGATAAAGATGGAACCAGCAATAATTTTCCAACATAATCTCATCCTGCTTTTCAATTTGGGACCCAGCTCATTGTCATCATGTCTAATTGCTATCCCAGATACACTTATCGATGAACCAGCTTTGTGGATTGTCTGTCAAAATGCATAACATAGGCTAGGCCAATTATCTCCAATTTCTTTTGATAACTTAATTGAAACATTAAAAACTTTTGAGCACCCCTAATATATGCATACTAATTTATATGTAAATTATAAAGTGCATTCATTTATCAGTCTATTACATATATAAAAATAGACAAAATAGACGTTAAGAAGGATGAGATAAAGATGAAACAGTACAAAAAGGTAATTCCCACTGAGTATTAATATTTTTAGTGAAAGCAATGTGACTGACTTTTACCATGTTTAAAAAGTCCCTGAGTATGTCCTAGGGCCTTGGACTGACTTATAAATAATTATTATTTGTTAATCATGAGAGTCATCTTGGCATAGTGGATAGAAAGACCTGGCTTCAAAACCAAGAAGACCTTGGTCAAGTCCTGCCTTTGGAAAATACTGTCTTTGTAACCCTAGGCAAATTACTTCAGCTAGCAGGATGTTCTAGTACAAGTGGAAGAAAAGTTACTAACCTGCATTGGGAAAGGAAGTTTCCTCCATCAAGGAATCACAGATTCAACTGTTATTCTCCTTGCGAGTAACTAATGAATCATTCATTTCATTTGATCAATGAAGGTACATTTTTTGGGAGACTTTTTAAAATATAAATACAGTGGACATCATAATCTTTTAACAGGACTCATGTTTCTCCATGTGTAGATATTCTCTATGTACAACTGAAAAATAAGAAGCAAAATTGAATTGACTCTGATAGCTAGGTGGCTTGGTGGCTCCAGTGTCAGACACTTAGTAGCTGTGTCAATCTGGAAAAATCACTTTAACCTCTGTTGCCTTAGTTTCCTCAATTATAAGTGTGGATAATAGTAGCACTTCGTTCACAGGATTGTTGTGAGGATCAGATGAGATAATATTTGTAAAGCTCTTTGCAAATCTTAAATCACTATATAAATGCCAACTATTAATAATAATAACAAAATTCAGCAAGAAGTTTTCAGTGTAAAGTTAGTCTTCCTCCTTTATGTAGTTCTGCTTAATGGATGGTATCATGCCTTCATTTCTGATTCATGTTTAGATATTTAAGATATGGTCAGTTTAACTGGATGGTAGAATGAGAGAAGGGACACATGTATATGCATATATGCATGTACATATAAGCTTGAAAAGGCAATGAAACTTTGGAGATGCCTTGTGTGCATATATAGTGAACATGCACATATATATATATATATATGCATTCATATATGTGTACATACATGTGCCTACTGCTGTAACTACCACAGTAGCTCAAAAGAAATGTGAGATGCGCAGACTTAGAGACATCTCTATTCCAAATGGACATATGGACTATTGGTGCTTGATTTGTGGTAGAACCCTCCAAACTCATATTAGTCTGATCAGCCACAGTCAGACACACTGTACCTTGACCCCAACATAGCGATGTCATTTTTATCCTTTTTCAGTATGAAGGACAACAGCCAGCCAACATATGCCTAGAAAAGTAAGTGAAGGGCTTCAAATCTGCCCTAAACTCTGCAGCAGATTTCAGTGTATAAGGTATAATTATTTTATTAATTGGTTTTTTAAAAATAATTTATTGTTATCATTTGTTTTCATAAGATCTACATTTTCGAATGTATCCCTCCTTCTTTACATACAATGTCCATACGTTATAAGATTGGGTCTGATTATCTCATGTGCAGAAAGTGGATGTGCAGGGGAATGTAGTGGAGATAGATAGGAAAGAGAGAGAGAGAAAGAGAACGAATGCATGTCATGGCATCACTTCCCTGATGTCATGGTCCTCTTTCAGAGGGAAGGATTACCAACAACTCCTACCTCCGCAAAGTAGCTGGGGCTTGGAGGAAGGATGATTTCTCCTACCTATTCTTAAGAACTAAGCTTGTAAGGCTGTGACATAGGACAGTAATTTTCACTTCAATTGTTTTCAAATGTCTCTGATGAGCACTGCAATATGAAATGATCAGGTATCTCATTAAATATTTTTTTTTGTTGCCTCTGGACACACACTGAACCCAACTCTACCACTTGTAAGGTAAGCCTGTCAGGCATCCCTTCCATTTAGCTGCAACTCCTTTTTGTTATCTGATTTCATTGATAGTTAGATTGGCAAGATCAGTTTGGCTTTTTTCCTTCAATAGCATGTCTCCCTGGTCACTGGACAGAGAACTCACATTTGGATGAAATGGTGTCCACTGTTAATTAGCCTCCCTGTTCTTAAGTCACTTGATCCTTGGAAAGTAGGCTTAGTCCTCTACCAAGACTGTACTCAAAGGTTTCCCAGCATGATGGGGCCTACCAGAACCTGCGCTCAGCTGTCATAGCATTCAAGGGGGTCACCTCTACCCTACAAGGCTGCATCAGAGTATGAGTTTGTGGAGGAAACCTTTATGTACAACATCAAAAAAACCAAAACAAAACAAAACAAAAAACATCGAAAGGAGAAGGGGCAGCTAGGTGGCACAGTGGATAGAGCACCGGCCCTGAAATCAAGAGGACCTGAGCTCAAATGTGGCCTCAGACATGTAACACTCACTAGCTGTGTGACTCTGGGCAAGTCACTTAACCCCGATTGCCTAACCAAAAAACAAAACAAAACAAAACATTTATCATCGGAGTCATCAAGAAAACTCACAGAAGGTCTACCATTGGGCCTGATTGTGTCACACACAGAAAGTGGGTGTGGAGAGGGTTGTAGTGGGGATAAATAGGAAAGAGGTTCCCAGAGTGATTCTATTTGCATACTTTTTGCCTGCTAAAGCATTGAACTATTATGAAAATGAATGAGAGAATGAATTGCAAAAGCTTGAGTGTTGTTAGTGTTGCTATGGTTATTATTTTACAGCATCTCTCTCTCTTTCCTCCTTCTTTCTTTCTTTCCTCCATCCTACTCCCCACCCCCCAAAAAAAACCCTTTTTATCCCTAAAGAACCAAGAAAATAGCAGCCCTGAGATGGCTGTTTGAAAGGGATAGACTCCTAGGACACAGTTGTTTGTGTTAGAAGGAGCACATGATGGCACTAGGATCCCAGACCTGTTTATTTATCTTACAGGTCTATGGCAAACTAGTATGGTTATACAGCCTCTAAAATGGAATGTTTACAGATCACCCTTTGCCTCCCTTAGATTCCCGTTATCCAGGTTGCATTACCCTTTTGCCTTCTGCCTTTCTTCCTGCAATCTTGTCCCTGAAATGAATCTGTTTCTGCTTCTGTACTCACAAATCAGGGGGCTGCAGCTGTCCATGATTCGTTGAACACACTGTAGAGAGACTTTTTGTTCTCCTGGCTACATGGTTTTTTAACAGTAGCACATCTCCTGCTGATACTGAATGAGACCTGCCAAAAGCTGTCTTTTATAGATAGAAATGATTCTGAACTAGTTGCCAGGTGCCCAGGATAGAAGTGATCAAAGTTCTATTTGTCATCTAGTTTTGGTCCAGAGAGGATCATTGTGCTACAGGTGCCTATCTATTCATTCTGCATGTAGCTAGTAGGTGCTCAGTTGAAATATCAGATCTACTCATAGTGCCTTTGCTCAGATATTTGTTGTTGTTCAGTCATTTCAGTCGTATCCAACTCTTCGTGATGCCATTTGGGATCTTCTTGACAAAGAAACTAGAGTGGTTTGCCATTTCCTTCTACAGTTCATTTTATAGATGAGGAAACCAAGGCATTCAAAAGTTAAGTAACTTGCTCAGAGTCACACAGCTAGTAAGTGTCTGAGACCCGATATGAATTCATGAAGATGAGTCTTCCTTGACTCCAGGCCTGGCACTCTAACCACTGCACCACCTTTGCTCAGGCATACTTTCTGTTATTCTTCTGCCAGAGGTTTAGCTTGATGATACTCTTTTTCTAACGTCCTTCATCCATGGAAAGAAATCCCAGAAGAAACCATCTCCTGGAAGCAATTTCCCTTTCATTTGGGATTTGTTTCCCCTTGCTAGCTTCGTGAAGACATTGATACACTGATCTGTGTATGGTCTCTACCAATCAATCCCCTCAGCTGTTGTTAATTAGACATATTATGCTAAGAAGTAGGTTAATTCCTTTTTTCCTTCTTACTCTTTAGTAATCTCCATAGACCAATTCTTTTTTTTCTCTTTTTTCCCTTTAGCACTGCAGTGATAACACTCACCCCTGTCAGTCAGATATGAACATTGAAGGGGCTTGGAAGAGAGGTTACACTGGAAGAGATGTTGTGGTCACTATCTTGGATGATGGCATCGAAAGGACTCATCCAGATTTGGTGAAGAACTACGTGAGTGTTTTCTATGCCTTTCCTGTGGATCCATCTGGAGTAATGGGCTCTGATTGCTGGGAAGTGGGGAGGCTACTAAAAAAATACATGAGCCAGATGTGCCAGATGTTCCATTGGGTTTTATATCTTTCCTTTCCTTGGTGAAATCATTATCACATGATGGAGGCAGCATAACTTGAGGGAATAGGCACAGGGAGACCTGGGGTGGGGAGGTTGTGGTGGGGAAGATGGGTTGTTTATTTGCTTTTATTTTGTTTATTTTCCTTGGCTCAACCTTGGTCACCATACCTCCACCATCAGCACCACCATCACTACTCAGTAGACAGGAAGTTTGAGGTAATAGATTAAGTGCTGCCCTTGGGGTTCAGGAACAAATGGAGTTAATCAGTGATTAATTCATTGAGCATTACTTGTCGACTAACAATCATTGATTAAGAGAATCTTATGTACCATGTGCAATGGCTAGGTATTTGGGATACCAAAAAAAGGAGCAAAAGAAGAGAAAAAGAAATAGCTCCTACTTTCGAAGAACTAACATTCTATCAGGGGAGAAAATATGAAACAAATTAGTATCTACTACAATATATAAATATGTATACATATATATATATCCATACATATATCCTGTCTTAGATATTAATTGTATGACAAATCACTAATCTCCTTGACTCCATTTCTTCCTTCTTAAAATGGACATAATAGTCAGCAAAACAAAACAAACTCCATGGGTTTTTGTGAAGATCAAATTTTATCTATCTATATCATTTCATGCTTCATAACTGCTATAAATTCCATCTGTTGTCATCATCACTATTCAACATCTAATGATATTAGGTGGATTCACTCTGATGAACTTATTAATTATTAGAATGAAAAACAAATCTTTGCAACTTCATCATGCCTAGTAATTGCACTTAAATGTTATTATAAATGCAAATGTACATATGCTATATTGATATCATTATCTTATTCTATCTATCTGTCTATCTATCTATCTATCTATCTATCTATCTATCTATCTATCCTCACAGAGTATCTTGAACGTGAGGTTGAAGTCACCTACTGGAGATACAACCTAGAACCTTCAAGAACGGAATTGGGGAGATAGCCCAGTATCAGCTAGCTAGTTAGAAATTAATAGCACAGATATTATGTGTGCGTGTGAGTGTTGTGTGTGTGTGTGTGTGTGTGTATGTATGTGTATGTAAAACAGCCCACACATACTTTTTGTTCATTATGCATAATATATATCTGGGCTACAATATTTAACATAATAATAAAAATAACATATAATATGCATTATAACCCAGATGTATATTATAGCCCAGTTATTAAATTACATATTTTCTATATATCTTCTTAAGATATATATGTAATATTACATATACTATTAGAGTATGCATACAATACATAATATTATATATATATAAAACTAGAGTATATATAATATGATATCTGAGACATTTCCCCAGTTCAGCTTTCAAAGGTTGTAGATTGGGTCTCCAATGGATGATTTCTACTCTAGATTGAAGATGCTTTTTGTGTCTACTTTCCTAAAATTATAGCTCATTATCTGCATCAACGGACTTAGCTTTAATAGTTAGACATTGACGACAATTAACTTAAAACACAGACATTGACTAATATAACTTTGTGAGAACAACAGTACCAAAACATTTCCTGTAACCCTAGGGCAAACTCTTCCACAAATGTATAGTCAGTGGAAAAAGGAGGCCCACACATGGAATATACTGGTATGGAGGCACACATGGTGGAAGCATTTCTGTTATTATAAGGCCTAGGTGACCTTTCTCTTCCTATTGTGTCCTCACACAGCTCCACCCTGTTCAAAGTATTTCCTGTGCAGGTTGCTTAGTGGGACTCCTGAGGCCTACTCCCTCTGGGTACAGTGCAGTTTCACTTCAAGATGCCATGGCTGATGGGATATTGGGAAAAGAGAAAGAATTCCTTTAATCTCCTACTCCCTTCTGGGAGAGGAGCAAGGAGAAAGGCAAAGAGTGATTTCCTCTCAAGAGTTGGCTTATTCCTCTGCAGTTGGCTCTCTTCTCTGCTGCCAAGAGTCACACCCCTCAGACCCATAGCCTGCTTCCATCAACTGCTTAGCAATTGTGTCTAGATTTTTTTTAAAAGGACCACCAAAGATATGTTCAGTTTTTTGGAGATAGTGGTCAGACTTGTTAGTTGCCCTGTAATTGCATGAAGTTTGAAGGTTTCTTCTTTGTTTATAAAGGGGTAATAAAATTGCCCTCTAATTTCATCAAACTTGACTGATTTCTTTATTTTTTTTGCCTAAAAACCTAATGCAGTATTTTTTTGTTTTGTTGTTGTCTATTCCCTTCTATTCTGTGATTTCATCCACTGGGCTGAGGGGGATAGATGGGGATTAGTTGATTATGAGTCTCCTGATCAACTCCCTCTACTACAAACACACATGTATGTGTACACACGTGAGTATATATACAGACATACACAAATATATATGGATTTATCCAGAGTCGTGATTTCATCAGTAGGGAGATTCTCTCTATGAGCACACAATAATATTAACGCTATAAAAATAGAAATATGGAATGTTTTTCTCCAAACCCTCACTAATCAAGGGCAGACATATCTTTGCTGTGTATTTCTGAAAATACAAAGTATGCCAGTACCGTAATCAGTTCTTCTCTCTACCTCTACCCTATCATCTACTTTCTTTTTTTAACTTTCTGTTTTCTATCCATTTACTGCCTTGTCCCAATCCTATGATTTGAGTACCTGTTTTAATTCCTATTACAGCTGAGGGATGACCCATTTAAGCAACTAGAATAGAGCACTGGGTACAGTTTCTCAAATGCAATAATTTCTCTGAGTGTGCATAACTAGATTTATCTCGTTTTTTTTTAACAACTCAGAAACTAAGTTTTCAGATAATGTCTGTGATTTTTAAATTACCTAATACAATCCAGTCCAGAAACTTGACAGTTCTAATGCTTTCTCTCAACGTTATCAGAATGACCATTCAATTAGGCCAGTTCTGCCAAATAATCAGCTCATTAAAAAAACAAAGATCAATTAAAATGGTCATTTGATGTCATGTAGACAAAAATAAAACTTGAATGTTTGATTTTTAATTAAGAACCAAGTAAACAGATATCCACTTATATAGCCTAAGTGAATCCAAAGCAATATAAGCATTATTTTCTCTTTTCCCATTACTTTGCACATGTGGATTCTTAATAAAAAGATCATCTTTATGCCCTATTTTCATGTAGGGTATTTTCAGTTTAGTCTGCAGTCATCATGTGTTTTTCATGTGCCTGAATGGACAAGATCCTTAACTCCACCACTCCACATTCCACATTTGCCTTCAACACCCCACTCTAAAATATGAGAGCTATGGTTTGAAAGATAAAGGAGCATTTGGAGGAGGGATTGTCTTCATTTTGTTTTGTTTTGTTTTGTTTTTTTCCCATTCCTAACTGAAGATGCTCTTTATGGGATCAGAGGAATGGAAGAAGCTATGTTACTTATAAATTAATTAGACATGATAACCTCCTAGCTCTTTCCTTGAAAGCAGGATTACTTCTAGCTTTGGCTTAGTTTTTCTGCTATCATTTCTGTGTAGATGTAAATGTAAGCTGTGATGATATATTGGTAATCTAAAGTTCAAAAGATCATGTAATCTCAGAGTCAGAAGGAACAGTTTAAACTATACCTAAAAAAGAGTCTCTTCTACAACGTGCTTGACACATGGCTGTCCAGCCTTTGTTTGAAATCTCCTGGGGAAGGGGGAACTCACTAGCTCCCAAGGCAGCCCATTCCACTTTGGGCTAGGTCTATTGGGGTGTTTTCCCTCATACCAAGTCTTTATTTGCCTTTCTACAACTTAATCCCATTATTCCTAGTTGTACCCTCTGAGGTCTGATCTCTTATCCTCTTCTTGAAACCAGAGAGAATAGTCATGACCAGTTTCCAAGGAACATGGTAAAATTAATCAGCTGATTTCCTTGAGGAAGAAAGGGACAGAAAGTCATTTAGTTCAGGTCCCTAGGGGCATACTCATTCCATTCTCCATCTTTTTAAAGACCTCATTTAGTACAACCAGTTCATGTTATAGGTAAGGAAACTGAGACCAAGATATCCAGGGGTACCCTCAGTCTAGATACCTTCAGGAAAGTGCTTTTCAGCTGGACAGGTGGTTAACAATAGAGTCAGGACATGAAACCTTTTGCCCTAGGAGTGTTTCTTAACTCCCGACACAGTTTATTCCATCTCTATCTTGTTGCTTCATTTTGACAAGGTCATGTATCATAAAATCATAGATCTAGAGCTGAAAGGGGACTTAGATGTCATCTAGTACATATAATTTTAACATATAATTTTGCAGATGAAAAAATGGAGGCCCAGAGAAAAGGAGGTGACTTGTCCAATGTCTTGTGACTCCAAGTTGTGACTCTTTACACTATACCACTTTGACTCCCAACTGACTTTATCTCAATCTTACTAATCTGGTCAGTATCTTTAATTTTTCCCTCTTTTTTTTCCCCTATGAGAGGACCCCTTAGAACAACGCAAATTACTTGTAGTTCTGTAATCATTGGAAGTGATGACTTTGAACGCTGAAGACATGAAAAGGAAGGACTTGCCGTGTCGACATGTCACTTGTTGCAACATTAATTAATTAAGTGGATAGAAGTGGATATTTGAGCTAGAAATTACTTTTAGTGGAATTGCCTTGGGTGATGGCAGAAACAATAACGACAACAACAACAACAACAAAGTTGTATTTTCACCATTTTATTTTGTTAAATAGTATTTTTTCCAATTACATGTAAAGATAATTTTTAACATTCATTTAAAAAAATTTTGTTTCAAATTTTTCTCTCTCTTTTTCCTGCCCCTTCTCTAAAATAGTGAGCATTTTTATATGGGTTATGTATGTAGAGTCATGTAAAATATAATTCCGTATTATTCATGTTTTCACCATTTTAAAATAGAAATATTTATAATATGTAGGAAAGTTTAAAATAACTTTTATAAATATTGAGTGGTAATCTTTAGTGATGGAAATTTGAATTATTTTAAAGCCCAGATGACCATATTTCACTAGCTTTAGAACATATTCTTGGTCATTTAAAAAAATTCAAATTTGTTTTTAACTTACTTATGCAATATGTTACCTTATTAATAATAATGTTACCTTATTAATTTAGACTAATGGACAGGGTAGGAGGGGTAAGGGTAAAGACAACAAGAATTTGTGGTGTCTAAATTACAAGCTTTTTAAAATGAAATTTTATTTTTAATCAGTGAAAATTCACCTTCTCTCCTTCCCATTGAGAAAGAAAGAAAACCCCCTGTTACAAAAATGTGTAGTTAAGCAAAAAAAAAAAAAGTGCCCACAATTTCCATGTCCACCTATGCATGTATGTGGATGTGTGTATATAATGCACATGTGAGTCTATATATACATTCGTGTCTCATTTTATACTGTCTATCATCTCTCTGTCAGGAGACGGGTAACATGTTTCATGAGTACTCTGCAATTGTGATTGGTCCTTCTATTGATGAGAGTTCTCAAGTCTTTTAAAGTTGTTTGTCTTTACAATATTGTTGTTATTATATAAATTATTCTCTTGGTTCTTCTCACTTCACTGTGCATCAGCTTCTACAATTTTTCCCACGTTTCTCTGAAACAATCTCCTTCATCATTTCTTGCAGCACTGTCATGTTCATCACATTCATATACCATAAATTGCTTAGCCCATTCCCTAACTGATGAGCACCTCCTCAATTTCTCATTCTTTGCCACCACAAAAAGAGCTGCTCTTATAAATTATTTTCTTACCTTAAAGTATGTAAACTTTACTTTTCTTGCTTTTAAAGTGTTGTGATATTAGGAACTAGGTTAATAAATTCTGCTAAGTAGTGGTTCTAAGGGGACCTAACTTAATGGATATTTATGGGTGATCTGTATTTGGCACATCCTTAATTTGTGATTTTGTAGCCTTTGCAATATATTGAGTGAATGACATGCTTAGTTCAATTTAACAGACATTTATTAAGCATTGACTGTGTTGGGAGCACCATTCTAGGCTACGGGGGAAATACAAACTTTAGATAAGACAGAGTTCCTGAACTCAGAGAATGAGGTAAGTATATTGAGAGTTGGAAAACTATCAACAGGAACTTATCTTTGTTTCTTGTTTGACAGGGAAGAAAGACTTCATTGATGAGAGTTCTCAAGTGTTTTAAAGTTATTTGTCTTTATAATATTGTTGTTATTGTATAAATTATTCTCTTCGTTCTGCTCACTTCACTCTGCATCATTTGGAAATTTGGAAATACTGAAATCTTAGTGACTTCTCAGAAGGAAGCAACTTAGGGGTGTAAAAAAGGATCTTCTGGTAAGAATGGAACACACAGACAAAGGCTGGTAAATAACTACATTTAGAGATATTGAGATGGACAAGCAAAAGACTAAATTGATTTCTAAGGAGAGGAGAGGCACTGGATTTATCTAAAAGCCATTTAAAATAGTTAAGCAGTTCCGATTTTGTACTTGTTTGTAATATCTTTTCCAATTGCCTATATAGGGTGCCTCCTCCCCATACAAGGGAAAATAAGAATGCTGATTTGCTGATTCTTCCTGAATTAACTACTCTTTCCTAAAACACTCTGTCATCACTCAGCCACGAGAATGTTAGTTATCCTAATTACTCACTTGTAGGATCTTGTTAAAGAATGCATGAACTTCAGGAGTTGATGGATAATTAATGAGCAGCCATCTTTCTTTTTCTCCCTTTCTTTTTTTTTGGTTACAGGACTCTCAAGCAAGTTTCGATGTGAATGGGAATGATTTCGACCCAATGCCTCGTTACGATGCCAGCAATGAGAACAAGTAAGGCCCGAGTGCAGGGTGACTTGGTGTGTCTGACGTTTGCCTGCTTCAAGTAGAACTTTGCCCTTCTGCTCACTTTATGGAAAGTATTTTCATGGGGAGCTTTCGAAATAAACAGTAGCTCATCTTCATCTTAGAAAGGCAGATTGGCATAGTTGATAGGGGCTGGTCTTGGCATTAGGAAGACCTGGCTTTAGGCCTTGTCTCCAATACCACTATCACGGGCCTTTGGAATGGGTAGAGAGACGCCATAGAATTTCTTAACCTCTTGGTGTCATATGCAACTCTATAAGACAGGGGGTCTTAACCTGGGTCCTTGGACCTTCTGGGGTCCAAAGAGGTAGACTTCGTTCAGTTTATGAACTTGAATGGGGAAAAAAAACCAACATATCTTTGTCCCAATATAATTGATTTCACCTATATTTCATTTTATACATTTAAGAGCATTATTCTGAGGAGTCAACAGGTTTCACCAGACTGCCCAAGGGGTGGAGTCCATGATACAAAAAAATTTAAGAATTCCTACTCTAAGACTACTATAAGTTGAAGACAATTCTCTGCTGTCCACGGATAGAAGGAGATTTCACATTGGATGTTCTCCAAACCAATTACATCATAGGTCCATTCCCACTCCTACTCCCCCATCCAACCCAACCCAGCCTTAGAACAACAACAATCTACTCTATATCTTGGTTGACCACTAGGCTTCCCATTGCATGCCAATGTGGCCACAATGCAGAGTTACCATATAGCTATGCAGCCCTGAAGAAGACACCAAACCATAGGATACTTTTACAGGACTCAAAGTGACAGTTTGGTGGTTTGGGGAAGTAGCAGATTATTTATTGGCCCGTTCCTATAGGACTTACTTATTTTTTAAAGATTTTTTTTTCTGTTTTCTTTCTCCTTCTCCCCACTATACTATAGCTCTCCTGCACTGTGTTTAATTCATAGATCACAGATTTAGAGATAGAAATAACATCAGACATGAGCTAGTTCAACTCTCATTTTACAGATGAAACACGTTCCTGAATGCCAGGGAGATTCATGATTTACTCCAGGTCACACCAGTAGGGTGTGACAGAGGTCCTGCAAAGTCATTGTTCTTCCCTTTGTACCAGAATGACAATGGGCTGAAGTTATACCTGATATCAGTCACCAGAATACATGAAGTGCCTAAGACTAATGTCTAAGACTAATTCTCAAACTTAGTCTGCATACAGACCACAGGACCTTGCTACCCAGGTAGTCTCTGTCCCAGAAACCCTGTTTATTTCCTATGTCTTTCCTCATTAGCAAAGTAATTGTACTGAAAAAAACCAAAAACGATCCTTCATTTTGCTGAGAATCTTAAGATATTTTTTGGTTTTTTTAGTTGCTTTTGCTTTTGGCATTTATTTTTGGCTAATTTTTGTTTAAAATAGTACAGCAATTAACAAGCATTTATCAGTTGTCTTCTGTGTGCTAGACACCATGCTAGGCACTGGGAATACAAAAGGAAACTGATGAAAGAATGTCTCACTCAAGGAGCTTACGTTCTAATCTAATTTGAATTGTGTATATTATCGAGGAATTTTCATATTCATTATAACACTTCAGAACAAAGGGGTTTTTTGCTTGTTTGTTTTTGGTTTTTGTCATTGTGAATTTTTGTATGGGGCTATTACACTCTGCTGTAGGTTTGCTCATTTGGATTTTATGTGTCTATGTCTTGTTTGAGGATGTTGGAAGCAATAGCAAAAATGGTTTATGCATACTATTTACATCCTTTTAAATATTCAATCTCATGTAGTGAATATGAATGACATGCCTTTTCTTTACAGAAAATTTAGCTAGTAGATATGCACTAATCCAATAACTTTGAATGAAGCCATATTACCTCAGGAATTGTGTACGCGCATATGGTTTATCTTATTTTTCACAGAGACCCACATCAAACTGGTTGTAGGCATAGGTTGTACAATTCTTTGCAATAGTAGCCAGATGAGTGCTACAAATCACGTGTCACTGGTGAAAGGGCTAATATGCAAGGTGATAGAAATAGAAGTTTCCAGAACTTTCCTGAAGCAACACAAACATGGGCCTAAATGAAGGCTGGTTAACCTGTCTGTTATACACAGAGCCCCGATTGCCTAATTTATAGTGCTTTAAGGCAGCCACAGGCACACAGATAGATGGGGGTGGGGTGGGGGTGGCTGTACTTTTTAATCACATGAACTGGTTTATCTGAATCTATTTGATCAATTCTCTTTGGAGAAAAGTATGGGGAATGTTCAATAAGTAAGCAAGGCACAGCTGGTTTCAACATGGTGGAATGAGAGGACAGCCTTATATTATTGGTGGTTGCTTGGTAAGAAAAAAAAATCTAGAAAGCATTAACTCATGGTTTATTACAAAGGAAGGGGGGAGGAAGCATTTATTAAAGGGCCTACTGTGTGTTAGGTACTGTGCTAAGCATTTTACAAATTTTATCTCGTTTGATCGTCCTAACAATCCTAGGAGGTAGATGCTATTAATATCCTCATTTTACAGTTGAGGAAACTCAGGCAGACAGAGGTTAAGTGACTTGCCCAGGGTCACATAGCTAGTAAGTGTCTAAGGTTGGATTTAAACTCAGATCTTCCAGGCTCAGTGCTCTAGCCACTGTGCCTAGGAAAGACCAACTCTGAATGCCTTATTTTCAATCATTTTAAACAACGGTCCAAAGTAGTATGTGTGTGTGTGTGTGTGTGTGTGTGTGTGTGTGTGTGTGTGTGTGTGTGTGGTGGTGGTGGCGGTGGTTGCTTTTTCAATCTGTGAGTTTCTTGGTTTAGGGAATTCCTGGCATGGAAATTCTTTCCACAATGCAGCTGAGCAACTCCTGTATAATTTAGCATATTGGAGATTTGCCAAAGAGCACTGAGAGATTGAGTGATCTGTCCTTACTAGTCACAGAGCAAATACATGTCATTAGAGGGACCTGAACCCTGGTCTTACTGATCAGAGAAGTTGGGGGAGGGGGGTAGAGTTCCAAAGAATATATAGAAAATAGGTCATAGAGTCTGGGGACATTGAAGGAAAGAAGTAGGTAGACCCAGATGATCAGTTAGTTTTTGGAGCCTTAGTGCCAGAGTCTATGCATTGTTACTTCTTTAATGTTGACAAATGAAAGGATTGATGATCATTGCTAGGGAAGGGGGTGGTGACAGATGGCTGCATCTACAATACACACATTGTATTTGAGTTGTGACTTCAGTTGAGTTTTGCAAATGGTCTTTTGAACCTGGGATTTTGCCTCTCACAGTCTTTCCAGTACGTTTGAGCAGAAAAAGCCACCCATTTCCTGCTAACTATATTTCACAAACTGCTTACCTGTCTGCCTGCTCCATTCCACCCCCCCACCCCCATCTGTTCAGAAAGATGGTGCCCAGTCTCATGATTGCAATGTGGGCTTGTTTACTGTGGAGTGTAAAGAGTTCTAACACCAGTGTGCTTGGGCTGGTATACACTGGCAGTGAAATAGAGAACATTTCATTGGTAAGATTCTGCAATAGAATTTCTTTTTCTCTGCTGAACAGAAGAAGGCAATCAGCTGTGGATGAAGTCATCCTGCTTTCCAAGACATCATGTTTTTCTTTCATTCTAATTATGCTGATTAATCTTATCTCTGCTGAGCCCCAGCTTGATTTCAGACATTTAGGTTAAAAATTGCCTCAGCTTATGGGAGTCTACTGAATGAATATAAAATAGTAAACCTATAGGTATGTTTATTTTCATATCTAACTATTGCTTATTAAACAATCAGGTTTAGATATTTTATAACAAAGAACTCAATATTTGGGTACATCCCCCCCCCTTTTTAGGCAATTGGGGTTAAGTGACTTGCCCAGGGTCACACAGCTAGTAAGTGTCAAGTATTTGGTCTGAGGCCGGATTTGAACTCAGGTCCTCCTGACTTCAGGGCCAGTGCTCTATCCACTGTGCAACCTAGCTGCCCCTTCTTTTTCTTTTTAGGTTTATGGAAATTATTCTATTCAAGTTTAGAATTAGGACTGACTTATTCAGACACAGACAGATATAACTTCTGCTTTAAGGGGCAAGTATTATAAATCAAAATACTTCAGGCATAGATACAGAAGTGTGCTAGTAAAATTTTAACAACCAGCTCACTCTACGCATGACACACTTTTAAGTTTAATATGAATTATTAACATTTTCTTAAGTCTAGACAATCAATGAAACAATGGCTTACACCAAGACTTGTAGCATTTGTAAATCTCTGAGGTGTAACTGCTCACACTGAGAATTCAAGTGGGCTTTTCCTAGCATATACAAGCTGGCTCCAGCCTCCCTTTGAGTAGATCACATGATAAATCATAGATTTAGAGCTGAGAGGGGCACCAGAGGCCATGTAGTCCTATCCTCACATTTTAGAGATGAAAAAACTAAGATTTGGGAAGCTCAATGTCTTATCCAAGGTCATATAGGTTGTGTTAGCTTTAAAAAAAAAAGTTGGTATTTTCCTCCTCTTCCTATGTTTATCAACTTGATATAAGTATCCAGGGCCATCTTTAGTCGTCCTGATCTATATCTCACCACTGGACTTAGATGGATCTGGGGGAAAGAATGAGGCTGGTGATTTTGCAAAGCCCTCCCTCCCTTAAATCCAATTCACTTGCATGTCATGGCATCACCTCCCTGATGTCATGATCCTCTTCTAGAGCAAAGGACAAACAACAATGATATAAGATGGTGAAAGCAAAGGATTTTTAACATTGGGTGGGACTGAGAGGATATTACCCAGCCTACCTGAACTTCTCTTCCCTTTAGTACTCTTCAGTGTACTTAGAACACACTTTCCTAGTTGTAGGCTAGTACAGCATGGTGGAAAGATCACTGGAGTTGACAGCAGAGGTCATTTCTATATTCTAATGCTTCCACTTACTACCTGTGTGATGTTAACATCAAAGGATCATAGCTGGAAGGGACCTTACGCCATCCAGCTGAGTGGAAAGAACATT